TTAAGACAGGCTAAACAGGATTTACTAATCACTGTGCTCTGTTTTTATTATTTCACATACTGTCCCAACTTTTGGGAATTGGGGTTGTAATAAAGGTGTGTAATCTGTGACTTAAAACACACAACTCAGTAATAAAAAACATGATTGAAACATTTACTTGCATGATACAAAACCGTCAGGGTAAATCATGAGAAACATCTGATTACTATTAAACCTTGCAGATGAAATTGCTGTGGCAATACAAGAACACGACTAAAAGCATGTTCTACCCTGTTTAACTACATAGAATATCCATATATTACATTTTACCCTGCATTAGTTTGTGTCTATCTCTCCTCTATAATACAGCGCCCTGCTTTCTGGAGAGATTTCTGTCCAGTTCAGTGACTGTTAGAAAGCTACAATTGACCCCATGTGTACAGACCAAATGCATTTATACCAAATTAAAGCATGCAGCTAATCTCTGCTGAGTTTTACTGTAATCTGTGGCTTTGTGGGCTCTGACTTTAATGGCCCTGAGTGAAAGCTTGAGGAGTATCTAAACATTATGGGCACCATGAAAGAGAATGAGAAAGAAAATGAAAGAGGGCAAGATAATGGGTGTTTGTATTGATTTGTTTATTTGTATCTGTGCGTTTCTTAATGGAAAAGTCGAATGTCACCAATGAACATGGTGTGCAGGCCATGTACTGAAAATTACAGCTCACGCTGGAGCTTCTCAGAGCCCCTCATTCACTTGTGACTGGCTGATTTGCACTGTGATTTTTGAATGCACTGGACATGAGTTTTGACTTCCCTCTCTTCACTCACACAAGAGTGGATAAGAGCTCTGAAGTAGACAGAGAGTTGAGAGAGAGATAGTAATTGTGGTGTCAAAATCAAATTTTCTAAATACAACCCCAATTCCAGAAAAGTTGGGACACTGTGTAACAAAATGTAAATAAAAACAGAATGCAATGATTTGCGAATCTCATAGACCCGTATTTTATTCACAATAGAACATAGAACACATATCAGATGTTGAAAGTGAGGCATTTTACCACTTCATGAAAAATATAAACTAATTTAGATCTTGATTTCAGCAACACATCTCAGAAAAGTTGGACAGGGCAACAAAAGGCTGGAAAAGTAAGTGATACTAATAAAAAACAGCTGGAGGAGCGATTAGCAACTAACTCACATGACTGAGTATAAAAAGAGCATTTTAGAGAGGCGGAGTCTCTCAGAAGCAGGGATGGGCTGAGGTTCACCAATCTGAGAAAAACTGCGTCTAAAAATTGTGGAACAATTTCAGAAAAATGTTCCTCAACATAAAATTCTGAAGACTTTGAATATCTCACCATCTACAGTACATAATATCATCAAAAGATTCTGAGAATCTGGAGAAATCCCTGTACGCAAGGGACAAGGCCGACGGTCAATATTGGATGTGTGTGATCTTTGGGCCCTCAGGTGGCAGTGCAATAAAAACAGGCCTGAGTCTGTGCTGGAGATCACTGCATGGGCTCAGGAACACTTCCAGAAATCACTGTCTGTGAACCGTACAATCCACAAACACAAGTTAAACCTGTATCATGCAAAGAAGAAGCCATATGTCAACACGATCCAGAAACACTGCTGTCTTCTCTGGGCCAAAGCTCATTTAAAATGGACTGAGGCAAAATGGAAAACTGTTCTGTGGTCAGATGAATCAAAATTTGAAATTATTTTTGGACGCCGTGTCCTGCGGATTTAAGAGGAGAGGGACCATCCAGTTTGTTATCAGCACACAGTTCAAAAGCCTGCATCTCTGATGGTCTGGGGCTGCATTAGTGCCTATGGTGTGGACAGCTTACACATCTGGAAAGGCACTATCAATGCTGAACAGTATATAGTAGGGGTGGGAATCTTTAAGCACCTCATGATTCGATTCGATTCCGATTCAGAGGCTGCGATGCGATTATAAAACGATTATCGATGCATCTTTTTTTTACAGGATTTCCATCTTCCTACTGTCTGAGGACTTGGTAGTTTTAAAGCAAACTATTTATATATAATACTTTAATATAATATATATAAATACTTTGCTTTAAATATCTAAAATATCTTTTATTAATAAATCAAATGGAAGTGATGTGGCAAGTGAACTAGAAGGCTCTCAGTCAGAGACGCTGCTGCCACTCATCTGCGATAAAATCCGCTGTTACCCTGAAATAAGATCCAGTGGTGATGGGTGTCCACACAGCGCGTTACAGCCGTACGGGGGGGAGTGTGCAGCATAGCGCCAAAGCCCCGGTTCTCAGCGACTGAGAACAGACAGCAGACAGCAGGTCACATAGCCCCGAGGTCTGGCCTCGCCAGGAGCGAACGAGAAAACAGAGATTAAGACGAACATTTGGAGACTTATTCGCATTTATAAGCAGCGCGGTTGGTTAAATCTGCTGAGAGACTGTCTTTCTCTAAAAAGTTGCAAAAATTAAGTCGCTTCTCTTTCGTTTTTTTCCCGTTCCACCTTAAATGGTGCAGCAGTTACATTCGGCGCCTAAGGCAGAATTTAAGGTGAAACGGGAAAATTAGAAACGAGAAAGCTGGCGAATGAGAAGCGACTTCAGCCTCGTAAAACAGCCGGACGCTGAGACATTTTACAAGAAACTCTTTTAGTTTTGAAGAAAAGTTTTCTGGCGGAGATGGGAGGAAAGCGGCTGTAGCTAAAGCAGAGCGAAGTCAAATCTGCGCTCTCGTTTATATTTTTAGCCCATACTATGACATTAACACACACTGAGACATACTGAGACATTAAATGTTGAGGCTGCCAAGCTGGTTTGATTTTTGTTGAAAGGCAAAATGGCTCTTCTTATCATTTGGGTTGTGACTCCTGACCTAACCTGGCTTTAATGCAGACGGTGCCGGTCGGATTTCTCACTCATCCCGTTGTGGTTTTGTTGTGTGCCATCACAGACTGCCCGGGTCCACTTACCCACTTCCAGTTCAGCCTTTTGCGTTTACGTTATAAATTAAATATTTAGAAAATCGATTTTTGACATTCAATGAATCGATTCAGAATCGTTCATGTCCGCATCGCGATGCATCTAAGAATCGAGTTTTTCCCGCACCCCTAATATATAGGAGGTTTTAGAACAACATATGATCCCATCCAGACAGCGTCTCTTTCAGGGAAGGCCTTGCATTTTTCAGCAAGACGATGCTAAACCACACACTGCATCCATCACAGCAGCATGGCTTCACAGAAGAAGAGTCTGGGTGCTGAACTGACCTGCCTGCAGTCCAGACCCTTTACCAACAGAAAACATGCATAATGAAATGAAAAATCCGGCAAAGAAGACTCAGAACTGTTGAGCAGCTACAATCCTACATCAGACAAGAATGGGACAACATTCCTCTCCCAAAACTCCAGCAGTTGGTCTCCTCACTTCCCAGACGTTTACAGACTGTTAAAGAAGAGGGGATGATACACAGTGGTGGACACGGCCCTGTCCCAACTTTTTTGAGATGCATTGCTGCCATTAAGTTCTAAATGAGTTAATATTTTTAATGAAATGCTAAAATTTCTCACTTTAACATCTGATATGTGTTCTATGTTCTATTGTGAATAAAATACGAGATTTGCAAATCATTGCATCCTGTTTTAATCTACATTTTACACAGCGTCCTTACTTTTTTAAAATTAGGGTTGTAAGATTTTGTGCAAGGCAATGAGACTTGTACTTAAAGATTGTGAGACCAGTATAATGGATCATGAAAACTGATTGAACTGAACTGAACTGAGTGCTGTGAGAATGAAAGTTTCTCCCAGATACCAGCAAACTCTGAAACAGAGCCTGAATCCAGCGGATCTGGGCCATATCTGTCCCACAATCAGATGTTATGTCTCCGCGTTGCCGTCGTATGTATCTCTCCTGAACAAACTTCGTCATTTAACGCTTGTATATGCGTGTCTTCTATGTGGGGGGTCTCTCTCTCTCTGGCGAGTAGCCCCCTGTTTAGTAAGCCACAATGAAAGCACCACTTGAGGCATGAATGCACTCATTGTTTTGTGGTAATGAGCTAGAAATGAAGAGGAGAGAATACTGCTTTAAAGGAGGGAAAACTGAGCAGATAAAAAGTGAGATGTGTGGACATAAAGGGATAGAGGTTATCAGTAGGACTAGGGACATGCTTTTTATTTGCGGACAGAAAGAGCGGCAGAGAAAGCAAGAGAGTGAGGGATAGCCAGTGTGGGGAAAATTAAGCAGAGAGATAATGAGATGTAGTGGGGAAAGTGCTCCTCTCAAATCCACAGGGACTCTCAGAAACAATGTTTGATGCCACTATGGAGGAAAGGGAGGGGCAGAAAATATTATGTACAACAGATTTCCTAATAGATTGTGTGTTAGAAAGACAGCAAGTGAGAGTCTGCATTTGAAAACATTAGGTAGGAAGGTGGGGAGGAGGGTTATATTAAGGAAAAATTGTGCTTAAGCACAGATACTGCACTAAGCTATCGATGCATAATGCAAACATCAGTATACTGGGTAACATTTGTCAGTTCGCCCTTTTAGAGCAGCCTGCATCTCCTTATTTAAAAAAAAATGGCATAACTTTGGTACATAAGGTTTATGAAGAGGGGAAAAATCATTTAAATGGATTAAACATTTTTAAATGTGTTAGGGCTTGATTTTCACAAGCCTTGTGAGCATGACCTCCTTCTTTGCATGATTGCTGAAATATCAATGCCAGCAATATAGAATGAGGGAATATGCACTGTATAAGCAGATCAGATAGATGGGTGAGATGGAAGAGGACGAGAAGGTGGAGAACAGAGAGAGAGAGAGAGAGAGAGAGAGAGAGAGAGAGAATGGTGTCTGGAGTACGATGATGACAGCCCTTGGCTCCGCTCCATTGCTGACGAAAGCTGCTTAGACCCTCAGTTGCCATGGAAACCAACCGGAGCAGCCAGAGAGAAAGAGAGAGCAGGAGGGCGGAGGCAAAGGAGGGAGGAACAGAGGGAGAGAGAGAGAGAGAGAGCTGTGATAGAAGGAAAAAGCAAGAACAGAAACAGATTCGCACTGGATGCCATTCTGCATATGTGCAGGCAAAGATAAAGATATTTTTATTTATTTATTCTCAAATGTATTCTGTGTAATTTATCTGTGTTAGTGAGAGGCTGAGAGAGAACAATAGACTGAGATACGCTGCAGTGGACCATCGACATGGATACCCAGTCAGAGAGCTGCGAGCCCCCACCATGCGATCCTCAACCTCCAGGTAAAATAAGAAAGGCCTTCAAGCTGTTCAGCAAGCGCAAGCCAGGCAGCAGCGTAGCCAGCATCTTCTCTATGCGTGGCAAAGGCGAGGGAGGACCCAAATCACCCCCTTCGAGGAGCAAAACCCTGGATGGATTAACGGAAACGGTGGCTCCAGAAGCAGAGGCAGAATCAGTGGACCTGGACCAGGAGGACAGTCAAAAGGAGGATGCTCCAAAGGAGGATACTACAAGCAGGGAGGGTAACCTGGGATCAACCCCAACTAGACAGTCCATCTCCTCCATCACTTCCGCCAAATCACTGAGCTTCCTCAATATGCTTCGTCGAACTCGGAGAGGAGGAGGGGGAGAGCGGCTGGCACAAACCGAGTCGCAGAGACCTGGGCGGCAGAGGAAAGGTTTGAAGGGTCTGTTTGGGAGCGTACGCTGGCACGGGAGAGATAAGGAGGGAGGTGATGAGGTTGAACCTGGTCCTCCACTACTGGCCTCCCGTTCCAACAGCGTGGAGATAATTAAGGAGAATCTGACTCTAACCCCAAGGCCCGCACCTCGATCTCCAGATGAGTCTGAGATTGAGCAGCAACCCTCTCATTCTCAGGATGAACCTACTTCATCTGAGGACACTACAAAGGTGAGCGAATCGGCTAAACCACCAACTAATGATAGGTTGAGCACGCTGCTTGGAGATATTTCATCTATCCTGAGCTTTGACTCATTGACAGGTGGCGGAGATATTGTTGCGGATGTAGAAGCGGAATGGGTCAAAGTCAGCAGTCGGGTTGAGGGAACAGATGAAATCTCAAAAAAGGACAAAACTTTGTCAGCTGCTGTTTCAACCAAATTTAAACCTACCCTCTCTCCTACATCTACCCTTAGCTCCACTTCCTCCACCAAACCCTCTCCTACATCTGCAACAAAAACTATTTCTTCTCTGACTGCATCTCCCAAACCCACGTCTAGCCCTACAACAAAACCCACACTTTCCTCTGCATCTACACCAAGTCCTACCATTTCAGTTATACCTACTCCATCCCCTACATCTGCAGCCATCCTTAGTTCTACAGCAAAACTGCACCCATCCTCTCCTCCTACCCCAGCACCATCCCCTATCCCATCAACCAAACCTACACCCATCTCTTTGCCCATTACAAAACCTGCACAATCCCCTCCAACTACTCCAACCTCAGCTATTTCAACCCAACCTGCTCTCATCCCTACATCTACCATCACCACTGAACCTGCAACCAAACCTACCCCTAGCCCTTCTCCTTCTGCTGTTCCTGAAACTTCCATCTCCCCCACAGTTAAATCTCCTCCAGAACTTGCTGCTCCTATTGCTGTTAGAACTGAGCCCACAACCAAACCAACCCCACCTCCTGCTCCTACATCCACAACAAAACCCAGCCACTCTGCAGCTCAGGAGTCTAAGCACAGTAGTGCTTCAGCACCCAAATATCCTCCATTCTCCACATCAACCAAACCCACTCCTACTGCTCCAGCGACCAGACCTAAAATTGTAACAACATTTGGATTATCGACCAGCCGAAACACTGCACCTATCATCAAACCTGAGACAAAGCAGCCTGCTCCTCAAACAAAATCAAGTCCTCCCTTATCCCAAACTGACAAAAGTGGGTCAGTGTCAGCTACAATAAAAACCCCAACTTCAGAATCTGGACCTCCTCATGCTGCTAAACCTCCTCCTGCAGCAAGCCCTCCGCCCTATGTCCCTCCTGGGACAAAACCCCAACCTACAATATCTAAACCCACAGCAGAAACTGCTACACCACAGTCAATCCCTGCAACTTCATCTGCTACCTCTGCGAAGCCTACATACAAACAAGATGATGCTTCTCTACTCTCTGGATCTCCTCCACTCCCAATCCTAACCTCTTCTCCAAGGCCTGGTCCAACTATTGCACCTTCATCCTCTACTGCCCCGATAGGAGAGAAAGAGCAGGAGGATGTGGTGAGGCGAAGAGGGGTGGAGGAAACAGGAGTACACACTCGGCCTCAGAAGGTGGAGCCCCAACCTGTTGCCCAGGACCAATTGCCCATTGTCGCTCACAAACCAGAGAAGAAAAGCTCAGCTGTGAAGCCCACAGCTCTCAGTAAGATCCCTGTAAGTGGTGGTGGCAGGCCAAAACAGCACCACAGGGATGGCCAGTCCAATGGCGATGAGGGACACTGGAACCTCCCTACCCCAGTGCATGAAGAGGAAAGTCCAATTTCTCTCTCACGAGAGAGCAGCAGCAAGGATCCCCTGAGTGACTTCTCCATCGGCTCAGGGGCTGTTACCCCTACCCTGTCCCACAGCCATGAGGATATCCTGGACTCAGCGGCCCGTCAGACAATGGGGGCAACTAGTTTACCCAGGGAGTCCAAGATCCCCATCAAACATGGTTCCACTGCAACCTACCACTCTTTGGTGGGGAAAACAGACACAGCACGCTCCAAGATCCCTGTCTCTAAAGTGCCCGTTCGCCGGACCAGCAATAAGCCTGCACCCACTGCCACGGCAACTGCCACACGGAAATAATGGACAGATTCAAAACACAAAACATTCCACTTGCAACTACTCAGAATCTTTTTTTCTGATGTTTGGACAGGTATCTTGATCTCAGTCTTTTGCAGCCGATCTCCTCATAGGAATAACGCAGGATTGTTACTGTTCTTCTTTGGACCGAAACGCATATGTGTCGACCACACTATATATACTGGGTGTTTCTATTCATATTGTGTCACTGTTAAAGACACTGATGCTGTGGATTCAACCCCTGTGCACCACCAGGGAGAGAGAGAGATCACATAAAAGCCCAGTTGGAATTATCTCCATGGTAATTTATGATGTGAAAACCAAGGCAGATGCTGAAGCACAACACCCCTCACCTGGGAACTGAAGCCATGTAGACCCTCCCCGTGGAGCCGAGCAGTGCATCTCTTCAATTATCTATGGCTGTCGATTATCACTAAGACCAAGAAACAACAGCTTGGTAAACGAAGACGCTCTGCGTTCACTGGAGCTCTCCTTAAGCAATCTAAAATGGAGTCTAAGCTGTCCAGGTCATGTGGTTTTTATTCAGGTCTGAACCATCAACGGGGTTTTAATGTCACCACTTATGGGTGCTTTTTTCCTGCCGCATTGAAGCCAATGTTTTCTAATGGCGAATGGAGAATTTTTGTAGCCTTTGTTACTTCCATTTTTGTAGACCTTTTTCGTGTCTGATGTCCTCGGTCCTTTGTTTTCAGCAAATGTCGTGGATCCATGTTTGTCTCTGTTGCAGCTCCCCTGCTTTTGTGATAAAAAAGAGGCAGAATCTCTCTCTCTACGTACATTAACACCAAGACAGGATCTCTCACATTATCTCTGAATGTATGTAGCAGAACGCATGCCCTACTTTTGAGTCGGAGGAGCCGTTGTGCTCCTCGTCCTTCCACACCTCTCTTCTGTTTCCCTTTGGCTTTTTTTTACACTGTGTTGAATCACACAGTGCCTGTCAGCTATAACAACCATTTGAGTACTCGTCAGTGAAAAAGACTTTGGCTAATGGATCTAACTCTTGGGACACACTGGATTGCTTGTCAGTATGACTGGAGTGCAATTTGGATAAGACTGCTTAATGAAGTAAAGCCTTGGGACAATGCTAGAGCTGTCTCATGGACAATCAGAATAGGTAAGGCTGTATGGTTTATGAGGGTTTTGGTCGAGCTCGAGATGGATAGATCCTTTTGTCAACGTCAAATGCTTCTTCACATGCCTAGTAGAGGACTATTTTTGTGTGTGTGTATATCTTAATGTTGCTCTGTTTCCTATTTAATCAATAAAACATGACTATACTTAGAACGTGGTACATTTTGCACAGCTTGCTGTCGATTTGAGAAGCGAATGGTAAAAGTACAACATGAAAAAGTTGTTTACACACATATGTATGAAACCATACATGACTCGTTCACAGATTCAGAATGAGAGAGGAGGAGGGGCTCCTTCATCTAAGTACCAGGTTGTGTAACTTGATTTTTTTTGGAAATGACTCGATTTGGATGATGTCACTCTAGAGCATGAACTGAGTGAGGAGAGTGTGTATGTTAGAGAGTGACTGGAGGATAGTGAGGCAGCTAATGGCACAATGTCTTTCCATATATACACATTCCGCTCTGCAGAGGCTTTATGTAACCACAGATAGAGGACGGAGTTAGAGAGCCGAGTTCTGCAGCTTTTAAATATGTGCCTTAGTGATTTAAACACTGACACACACAAGTTCTGAAGGTTCATTTTAACATTGTAATATACACAGATCAGGCGTAACATTCTGACCACCTCCTTGTTTCTACACTCATTGTCCATTTTATCAGCTCCACTTACTATATAGGTGCACTTTGTAGATCTACAGTTACAGACTGTAGTCCATCTGTTTCTCTGATACTTTGTTAACCCCTTTTACCCTGTTCTTCAGTGGTCAGGACCCCCATGGACCCTCACAGAGCAGGTACTATTTGGGTGGTGGATCATTCTCAGCACTGCAGTAACACTGACGTGGTGGTGGTGTGTTAGTGTGTGTTGCGCTGGTCTGAGTGGATCAGACACAGCAGTGCTGCTGGAGTTTTTAAACACTGTGTCCACTCACTGTCCACTCTATTAGACACTCCTACCTCATCAGTCCACCTTGTAGATGTAAAGTCAGAGACGATAGCTCATCTGCTGCTGCACAGTTTGTGTTGGTCATCCTCTAGTCCTTCATCAGTGGTCACAGGACGCTGCCCACAGGACGCTGTTGGCTGGATATTTTTGGTTGGAGGACTATTTTCAGTCCAGCAGCGACACTGAGGTGTTTAAAAACTCCAGCGGCACTGCTGTGTCTGATCCACTCAGACCAGCGCAACACACACTAACACACCACCATCAGGTCAGTGTTACTGCAGTGCTGAGAATGACCCACCACCCAAATAGTACCTGCTCTGTGAGGGTCCATGGGGGTCCTGACCACTGAAGAACAGGGTAAAAGGGGGCTAACAAAGTATCAGAGAAACAGATGGACTACAGTCTGTAACTGTAGAACTACAAAGTGCACCTATATGGTAAGTGGAGCTGACAAAATGGACAATGAGCGTAGAAATAAGGAGGTGGTCATAATGTTATGCCTGATCAGTGTATATTTTAACGGTGGTCATGTCCACTCTGTCCACTCTGGGCTATGAAAAGTCATCAGCAGAATTTTGCCATTGTGGTGAACATCCCACTGACCTCAGCAGCATACTGCATCAATTTCATTGGTGCCTGGGTAAAGGCTTGTGGGCTAAAATGCTATAGGAGCACTACAGCCATGCAGTAACACAAAGCCTTATCTAAGCATGTCTCTAATGAATCACTATCCTGACTCTTATGTCGGGTCTGTAGGAGCTCTGTTTGCACTGAGGACACTGCGTGAATGTCAACAGTGCTTGTGCAGAGAGAGGCTGCAGGCTAAAATGCTATAGGAACACTACAGCCGTGCAGTAGCACAGTGCGGTATCTAAGCATGTTCCAATGGATCTTTATTCTGACTCTGATAATGTTTCTGAGGAAGCCTTGTGTGCAGTTAATGCTGCCTTTAGTCTGTTAGAGGCGGCCAGGACCGTGCCAGAACTGATAAAAGTGAATTCAGAGAGAAAAGGAATGATACATGGCAGGAGAGAAGCGGAGAGAGAATGGAGGGAAAGGGAGGGGGGGAAGACGAGTCCCTTCATTCCAATGGACCACTGTTTTTAGACAGCCATGATGTAACTGGATACAATCCAGGTTGCTTTCAGGGCTTGTACAAAAACATGTCCTATTCCATTTAGTGTGTTGTTGGGTCACTGAGGGAAAACCGATGGTTGAGGCTGTATAAAAATATGATAAACACAGCTGCATGGCATAAATAAGGCCAATGCAAGATAAGGACATTATGGAGGACGACATAGCAAGAGAAGGAAGAGCAGAGACAGACAGCTGAGACCACACGGGGCATAAAACCATCTCTGTTTTATCGAGGACAGTCGGTTAGATTGATTTGGACAGAAGCAGAGGAGCGGGCTGGAGTCTGTTTTGGGTTCCGCTACATTCTAGCTCTATCTAACCTGTCATACTGTAAGATGTGCTCTATATAAAACCGTGGCCAGATAAGAAAGAGAGATGAAGAGATTGAGCCACAGAAGAGCTCTGGAGTCACCGGGAGAGATTTGGGGTCTGATCACAGTCACGGGGCAAGCCAGATGGGGGGGTTTGGTTTTTCTGAGAGCAAAACGAGAAACAAAGAATTGATATTTATAGACGAGACTCTCCAGCGGCACAGCACAAACAAAGCTCTGTTCATTGAGCAAAGCCCAGGGCTCTGGAACTGGGCAGAGAACGGCGTGTTTAGTTGGAAAACCACGCGGCGCTCGCTTCTTGGCGGCCTGAATCGCCCCAGTGAGAGCGAGCCACTGTTAATGCAAACCTGCTCTGTTTACGGATGAGCCAGCGCCTGGGGTCTCCTGTGGGAGATAAAAGACCATTTTGAACAGGTCCAGGACCTGTTTTACCTCTTTAAAGCTCATAGGGGAAAATGTAAAAGGGATCTAGAATCAGTCATTAGCTTTGCCGATGTTTCCTCTTTAAAGGGCTTGGAGTTTGGACTAGTATATTATGTACAGCAGTTATAGCATCGTGAAATTGCATTCAGTACTCTGGAACTCTGGAAAAGAACATCTGCTAAATATACATACATATATATATATATATATATATATATATATATATATATATATATATATATATATATATATATATCATTAGGTGCTACTTATCTTAGGGTTTCAGTCACATGATTTTTCTGCTGGGGGACCAAATATTGGGACTGCGAATATTGGGACCGAATTTCTGGCTTCGCTGCTCTGTGTGAACATAACTGGAGGTGAAAGATGGCTAAAATTACTCACTTTACTTTGGAAGAGAAAAAACTTACTGTAAACAGGCTGTGATCCTTATACAGTGTCCCCTGAACTCCTGGTCCCACTTACACTGGGGTAAAGCTACCAAATGTGTGTTTTCCTGATATATTGATCTCATACTCAGCCCCTCTCCCTGTTCTGAGAGTCTCTCAGAGCATTTAAAGCCCACCGGCTCTTCACGTCAGGGTGGGTAAGGGATCCCATGGTGCTGCATAAAGAGGAGATAAACTCTGTCATCATAGGAGGAACGACATCAGCTAATTAACACAGATGAGATCAACGCTGGCCTTTAGATAACTTTAGCTGATGTTAACAGAGAGAGATGAACAGTCGCCCCCTAATGGAGCTGCAGACCGCCGGTACAACTTCACTCTCTGTTTCTGATTTAAATGACGTTTGAATGGAGAAACATTAACGTTAAATATCAGACTGAATGTTGTGGGTCAGAAAACGACGTCGTGTTTCGACAGACGTGATTCTGTAAGTTTGCTAGTTCAGTTAGTTCAGAGTTCAGCTCCAGTCCTGAAACCCCTGCACTGCATAACTGTGGTTTCCTGGTTAAAATACCTGATATTATCAGCTAATTAATCCATTCTGGAGCTGAACGAGGTGTGAAACACTAAACTGTACAGTGCAGCGGCTCCAAGCCTGGAGTGAAAACACTGAATTAAAGGTCTGTGTGTCTCTCATCTCTCAGCTTCTGTCGCGTCTTACAGGTCAATCATTCAGTCACTCCCTGATTCGGTCCTCATAATGGCAGCCACAATGCAGTGTGCTAGAATTATTATATTATTATATGAATTGCTCAATTTTTTGAATTGTAATCCCTAAACTAACCTGAGACCCCCAGAAGAGGAGGTTGGTGGTTATTCGGTTAAAATGTGGAGCCCAACTGTCCTCTTGTATTAAGCTGCCGTTTAAGGCTGACATAGGATCATGTTCTCTGGTCTACAATGATAACACCTTTAAAAATTAATCTGAGATAACTGTTCTTAACTAGGCATGATCTACTTTGTCTGGAAGGCTGGCGACAGCATTGGAGACCATAAGATTAAGGGATGTGTGCAAAGAGTACATTTTTCAAAGGATATGTTTGAGCCTTAATATCATAATATCACTGCGTGAGCCTATTTTATTTAAGTAATAGGGTTTAGAGTTGCTGACTCCATCCCTCCCAGTCCATTACGTGGATTAAATCCAATATATGTAGACGGGTGAATCTGCTGTAAAATGAAATGATGGGTTTTAGAACAGTAACGTATTTTCCCACAACCTCTTAAATTGATACTCCTGTGTTTCTGAATCTAATCTCTGTCTGCTGTATCTGCAGCATATGATCGATTACTGTAGACAATAACCTATAAGTGATTGTAGGGAAGGTGTTTCAGCATCTGCCCATTGGCTTCTGTTATAAGTGCACTGTAATGGCTCATCAGATCTACCTAAAAATGTGGTAACAAGTAAATTAACTAGTTTTGTTCTACTTAAATATATATTAAGTAATTTATTGAGTTGAATAAAACTAGTTAATTTACTTGTTACCACATTTTTTAGGTAGATCTGATGAGCCATTTTTTACAGTGTGTTTCAAGTCAGTGGGTTTTCTGTACAGGGAAACTGTAATGGTGATGTGTTGGGTGGGTTTTTACATTTTTAAAAACGTATTTAAATTTAAAAACTTTTTAAATTGTGTTCCGATACAGACTGAGTTACCATAATGTAACGCTGCATTTGGATCACTTTTTTTTAGTCATGATAAAAATGATTTAAAACATATCACACCAAACATCTGTAAACAAGGCAAACAGGAAAGCTGCTGATTTAGGAAACAACGTTTTTGGTGACATAGTTGTCTGCCAAACCTGGGTGGGCTACTTTCCGTGATGGGAACAGAGAGGGCAGA